AGCTGAGCTATCAGTCAATCAGTCATTTAGTCCCATCGAAATACGTTTCCGTATCTATAGAAATTATTAGAGAAAAACTTGACAATCCTAGATACTCCGTAAGATCATTAGAAACCAGAATTTGAAGATAAAGCTTCGAACTTCTTCCTTAAAACTATCGCGACCAATTGAACCGGCAGTCGAATTACTTGTTGGGATTGAGCCAATTAGACGTTCCCTAGGTAACCAACATTCGCTAAGAAATCCCCGGTACTCCTTATATTAGTGCAGCGTCGTCCGCTCGTCGAAACGACCAACGGTTTCCAGTGCGTGCGTGACGCTCGCGAATTGCTCGCAGTGAAACGATAATAAACCTGTCCCCCGGGACTGCGGGGACGCGTCCGGTGTCAAAGTTTTCAATTCGGGGCGCACGTAACCGGGACGATTCGGTTTTACGAGGCGTACGCGGCCGACTGTTGGAGGGAACCGTTCCAGTTAGTTCGTCCGCGTTGTTGCCGTCACGGACGGAACTCGATATCATTGACAAATAAGAGGCAGTAAACGTTATATAGGGGAGCGGCGGTGCATGCGGCTGGCGTATGGCCTGGAAATTCCTGGCCGCGGCGGCGGCGGCGTTCTTGATGGCCGCGTGTTATTTATATAAGCTGCCGCACACGCCCGGTGAAAGCTGTCGAAAGCTCTCAGCGGCGCACGTCTATCCCCGATATCGGCAACCCACGCGAAAACCGTATCGCCCGGTGTCAGCTTGTTTCCGTTCGTTAATGCCGTTACCATTCTTCCTGAATATCCCGTGAAATCTCGACGGGCGAATTTTTAAAGCGAGACCCCTGCTCGATACGCGCCGTGCCACTGTCCGGCATAGCGTTACTGGACTCCCGTGAAGACTAGCCCTTCGCGGACGATGATTTACAGATTTCAGTTAAAATAACTCCCAATGCGTCCTCTAGTTTCAAAGGAATCGCCGTAAGTGGAACAAGTCGACAATGATCAGACACGACAGATGTATTTTCCATCCAACGTTGCTCGCAGTTTCAAAATGAACGTCAATTTCAACATTAATGAGATGTGCATTTCATCCTGCCCTCAAAGGAGGCAGGAATACAAATTTCTGGGCTGCTAAAACTTTTAACGAATTACATTTGTTTGCACTCGCCGGGTAAAAGGAAATTTTTATCTCAAGTGCCATCGAAATAATTTCCGAATCCAGATGATGAGTCGAAACACGCGCGTAATACCATTACTTTCATCGGCAGCTATCCTGTCGGCATTTCGATAAGATGAAATATTCATATTTGGAAGACTAAGTCGCAAGCCCTTTGCACTCCAAACATTTGTCACTAGAAATATTCAATTTATTTTTCTGAGATATATATGACATTTTTTCAACTAACTTAACAGGAGATCCACTCACAAAATAAGAAGAACAATTTGTTTCTCTCTCTTTCGCTGCGAACAATTTTCCGCGATTTTCCGACCGACGGGATTCCTGCCTCAAAGGTGAGTCGAAGGGGCCCGTTCGCGAATTTCCCTCGGAGGATCGAGGCCACCGGCAATTATTCGCGGAGCTTCGGCCCCTCAAGGACACGCTCATCTTTTATTAGTCCTCGCCGGGGCGGCAGCAAAGAAATCCACGACGGTTTGCTTGGGAAACGTCCAGTCAGCAGGATTCTTTTGATCGGCTTGAAGGGCTTCCGTTCAAGCACCGTGCAAAATTCGCTTTCAATCGCGACGGATTACGAAACAGGGATCGTCCGAGCTACTGATCGCCGTTGAATGCTTCCAGAAATTAGAGGTCTCCGCGGGGCTCTCGAATTTTCGGAGCAGTCCAACGGTCTGGGATACTCTTTGATAGAGGAGGAAACTTTTACCTTGTATTTGCTTTGCTACGGTTATTATCGGTACCGGTTTTTCGAGATTCATCTTACCTGCGTTTTCCCTACGTTCCAAACTTTCCATTTCGAAAATCCAATTCGTAGACTCTTCACTTTCTCAAATATTCGCATAGAAATATTTTCCAACGAACTCCATCTTAACACGTTGCGGAACAGCTAATTTTCAGGAAATTAAATTGAGATGGCAATTTTCACTGAGGCCAACTTATCTCACTATACATAGAAAAACTCAGATATCATATTGTTATGTAATATATTTTAACCCTTTACACTCGAGATGCGACTCTCAGTCGCTATTTGATTAAACACAGCAAAATTATAAACTCAGAAATTCAATGTTAAATGTTGAATAAGGTATCAACACATGAAGCATAGAAATAAAACAATTCTGTCCCTTAAATTATGCAAGATGTTTCTTCATGTAAGTGCCAAATAATATAAATAATATAAATTATTATATTGTTTTCAACGCTGTGGTAATTAGCGAAGTGGCACAGCTAAGTGTCTTCATATAAAAACGAGATTTCTCGTTACACATCTTCAATATATTAATACGATTGATATCGGATCCGTATAAAAATTGTAAATACGTCGATTTTGTTTTGATATGTGACACTGTTACGATATCAATAATTGAACAAGGGAAGTATTTAATATATCGAGTGGAATAATATCGAATGTATTTAGGTGTCGGTTAAATTAGGGAATGTTGGAAAAGTAATTACGCGATTAATGTTGGTCCGCGTGTTTATTCATCCAATTAAAAGGGAATTTGTGTTTGACGGCTGTTTTATAACGGTAGTCGAAGCGTTAGGGGATTAAATTATAATCTCTCCAAATAGCTCGAATAATCTGCAACAAATTTTTCAATCAATTTTTATCCTGTACTCCCATCGCGGCGCAGATCGAATTTTACGAGGCTATAATCCGCAGTTCCGCGAAAAATGCCGGTTTATCGGTTCGCGTCGACACGGAGTTCGATTAATTTTATTCGAAGCGATGCGCGTGTTAATTTGCCGCGTTAATAGCGATACCTGTTAACGATTTTAGTGTATAAAAGAGGTACAGTTCGATGTACAGCGCCGCTCGGAAGTAATTGGAACAATTGAAATCACTCCGTTAAGCAATGGAGATACACGTGTATTGGTTATATTAACGAACCGTTCACAAATAATTGCACTAATTATTCAAACAGAAAAGTTCGCAGTGCCAGTTGTTTGTGAAAATATCCCAGTTCGGTTAGGATGAAACTGAGATCGCTGATTTAACGTCAACCCATTTTTCTCGGAATATAATCAGCATCGTACGACGTAAATTTTATTAAATTCTATTCGCACAACGACTGAAGTAAACGTTGCAAGATTCAGTTTAACAAATTTAAGATTCAATGGAATGTAATACAATTCCATTTTATTCGGCTTCACTGAAAGAACCCACGAAGAAAAGAAAATTCCACTGCCGCGACACGCTGAATTCGTATAAACCCTCGCATTGTGCCGATCAAATATTCGCAGAACCATACCTTCAAGTCGAAATAAACTCGGAACGTGACAGTCGAAAATTACCTAAACACTTCTTCGCAAAATCCATACGCCGTTATTTGAAAAGCACATAACAATCCCGGAAGACAGACGATTCCAGTCGATAAAAAAACATTCGTCCATTTGCCTCGGGACAACCTCTCACACGTGATTGCAATTTTAGTGTAAAAATTCCGAAAAGATTCTCCTCTCATATCTCTCTCGTTTTATGTAATATACCACGTACTATTCTATCGACTAATCTGACTCGGATAACTCTCAGAGTTATTAAAGATAAACGATAATAATGAAATAATCTTTAAGCAGAACCTACGCCTAACGAGACTACACTGATCTTAATTAATTGTTCGTCTCCTCAATATTTTCTTCGATCCGATAAATCTAAACAAAACAGAACAATGAAACTGAAACGAAACATAATGTAATTTATAATTTCTAGTAACAATACCTGTAGGATTAATTTCATTATCAGCACGTAAAATATTATTTCTAAATATTTACTTCGATCCAATAAATCTAAACAAAACAGAACAATGAAACTGAAACGAAATATAATGCCGTAGTTCAAAATATCCTATAGATATTGTTACTGATTTACTCTGACGAGTCATCATTATCATGTCATCACAATCATTACTCACCTAAAAATCCTCACAACGTCTCGCGCGTTGTCGCATAGCAAAGGATTAAAAATCATTGTGAACCAATTTCACATGTCAATTCCACTGGATCGCGGAAGACGTCGAAAAACGGGCGTCGTCTATTGCGTGGACTCGTCTCCTCGAGCCAGGGAATTACAGGGCGCGATATTGATTCGCCGTGGGCCGGCGCTGCGTCGTTATCGCATTACCGATAATACGCGTTCGATTTCGTGCGTGGCTATTATGGAATTTGTTGTAGCGGGTACTTGGCACGGATTCCGAGCGGCGACGTTGACAAATGGCCACCGGCGCGGCGCAGCTCCGCAGGCGATACAAATGACCCCGTGACGAAAACCACGCGACTGCGTCCGATTTTTCTTGATGATCCGCTGAAAAAACCGACCCTCCTCTCCATCGGACCGCGAGACGTTCTTATGGCCGGCAACAGATTTATTGGACCTTTCGGAATCATTAACCCTTTGCACTCGGAGGTTTTTTAGTAGAAATATTTGAAGATTTTCTGATGAGATAAGTACGACATTGTTTGAAACTAATCTATAATTCAGACAAATTAAGCAACAAAGTTAAATAAATATAAGTCAAATATTTCAGGCAATACAAAGTTTAACCCTTTGAGAGAATATTTTTCTCGACAGATATTCATTATGATATTCTTTACAACTAACATAAAGAAATACCCTGCATAACGTAACAGAACTTATTTCGACGTTCCATATGTTGTATTAAGTAAAATTTAATATTGAATTCTCAATTTTACCATTTTCTTGGGTAGAAAATGGCGACTGAAAGGCGTCCCTCGAGTGCAAATGGTTAAGCTCAGAGAAGGGAAATTGAGAAAATGTTTTTTAATGCATCGCCTAAATTATTATGCAACACATTCAGAAGCTATGAAAATAAAAATCTAATAACTAACAATAGAAAATCTAATAAGCTTAGGGTAGTTTCGCTTAAGATTCATTAAAATATCTAATATTATTCTTGGTGCAATATTGGAGTCTACAAAGTTCAAAGGGTTAAAGATCGGAACTCGATGGAACACTCCGTAGATAAAAACAGAAGCACATAGTAGAATTTCATTCTATATTTCCCACGTAGAATTATTCTGCACAAAAACGCTTGATCCATTGATGTTTTTTTTTTGCAGACACTCCATGCGGACTGTTCGTAGAACCTGTGGTCGTGGATTCGCGTGGCGCCATTTTGTCAAGGGAAACAACGCGGGCGAACTGTTTCTGACGGTACGGTTTATTTATACAAATTCTTAACAACGTCAACGGGGCACAGGATTACGGGGGAACGTGAAACATTGTACAAAACGTGTCGGCGCGACCGATCGGCCGGCTGATTTCAAAATTGGCACGTACTTAAATTTCCACCATCCGCAGCGACGTGATCCGGCGCGCCGTTTACGACGGCCAATAAATTTCCGGCGACCCGTACTGTCGCGATCTGTCGTTCAATTTCGACAAACGAGCCGCGGTCTCGATAGCCGGCTCTAAAACGGCGAGTTTTACAATTCCGGGTCGCGCGGCTAATAAACATTGATTAGCGCCTCGATTAACCGGGCTCGACCAATGGACCGTCGACGTCGGTCTCGTAAAGGAAACTATATTTTCGTTTTTAGGTCGCGCCGAGACACGTGGAAATAAATCTGTGTGCAATAAATATCAAAGTTTTAGATACAGTATGTATATATCGATTAACACTAAAACTACCGAGCACTTGAACCGACTTTTCCAAATTCCCTTGTACAAACTCCGAGAGTCGATTAACACTTCGCCAACCGGATGGGAGGTCTCCCACTTTTCACTTTGCAACGTGTTGCCTTTTATTCTGTTTATCTTTTGTTTTGTTGTTTGGTAAGTCTTGAAGTGGGATTATTTGCAATTCATCAAATACGGTTCTTGTTTTTACAAAACATAGTTTTCAAATGAATTAATTGAATGAGTATAATTGAAGATAATGGAGAAGGTTGTAGTTATAGTTCTTTCTTAGCAACGTATTGCCTTTTACTCTGTTTATCTTTTCTTTTGTTGTTCAGTAAGTCTTGAAGTCGGATTGTTTGCAGTCAAATGCGGTTCTTGTTTTTACGAAACACAGTTTCTAATTGATTGAATGAGTTCAATTTAAGATAACGAAGGAGGTTGTAGTTATAGTTCTTCTTAGGTCGCCTAAGTGTTAAGACTTCGATTACCAATTTAGTTTATTGCTACATCGATTTCTTTATTAATTACTTAGAGAAACAGCTGATATCTTTTTAACACTAGGTTTTGATTAATTTTGATTGATGCGATCACACTGACATGTACCCCAATTACCTACTATCAAATCTCCAGTTTCCACAATCTAAATAAACGAGCATCAATTCTTTTAGGAATAATATGAAGTGTACAATAAATGCCCGTAAACCTAGTGTTAATAACTGCGAAAAGGCGAAATCAGGAATGGTAGTTTTAGTGTTAAAAAAAGGTAACGGTACGTATATACAGCGATTGAAGGATTTGGTGCGATTCGTTTGATAAGAATTCTTAAATGAGAATCTTCATCGATGTTAGAGAGTCTTTATACACTATTTCGAGTTAGTAGGTGTAATCATAGAAAAATGGTAAAGTGTACAGCTTACATTCTTCAGAAATTTCGGTAACAGAATATAATATTTCATCGCATATCCGATCGATACGTGACAAACATTCGGAAATAAATAACCGACGATCTAAGGGCTAATCGTTTGAACCGGCCCGACAGACCGATAACCTAGAAAGCATCTGAAAAGAGATTGCAACGATGTAGTTTTTACAGAATGGACACTATACAAAGATTGCTCTTCAATATATAATCGCATATATACGAAGAACTCAACTGAATCTTTAAATACTACGGACATTCCACCTTATTCAACTATTCTAAAACAAGTCATGAATCGGCAATGTTGACGGTACCGTTCCATTACAATTATTACAAGTATTAACCCTTTGCGGACGAAGGATTTTAGAAATGTATGAAACCTTCAATAGAAGCTAAATTATCTATCAATCGCTTAATCAATAAAAAAAGGAGACTACTAATTAAATCACTCGTCTGCGACTTAGCCTTCCAAATATGAACACTCCATCTCAAAATATCGCCATCTTTTTAACTCAGAAACTGAACTACGCTTTTCTATTTCAACAAAACTAAAATAATTCAAGTAATTGAATCACTCGTCAGCGACTTGGTGTTCCAGATCCGAACATTCCATCTCAAAATATCGCCATCTTTTTAACTCGGAAACTGAACCACGCTTTTCTATTTCAACAAAACTAAAGTAATTAAAGTAATTAAATCACTCGTCAGCGACTTAGTATTCCAAATCCGAACATTTCATCTCGAAACGTCGACATTCGTCCGCAAAGGGTTCGAAGCATTACAGCTCGAGGAGTTAATGACGCGAATAACACGTGTCCGTAACCGAGTTGCCGGCGCAGTTCACGGAACGATTTTCACGGTATCGTTTCTCGATTACCGGGCACGGGTCAGTCGACTCCGTTGCTCGTCCAACAGCAACGACGCCTCGCCCATAATTTTCGCGCTGGTCCGGACGAGGAACAACAGCTGGTACTCGTCCGTGACGGTCAGGGAAGACCTGGTCCTGACCAGCGCGTGAAGAACGTTCGCCCTCTCCAGGTCCAGCCATCTTTGGAGGGTGACCTCCCTCTCGCGCGGCCCGCCCAGGGTCACGTCCGCCGGCCCCCATAGCGAGAACTCGAGAACTGACTTCACCTGCACAAAGAACACGCGTTCACCTCCGGGCGAAAGGAGCTTAAGATTAACAGCTGAAAGCTTTAAATCGTTTCGCGTCCTGGAAAACTTCGCGATAAGCTGTTCTTTTTCTTTTGCAACGCAGAAGATGCGAAACGACTGTCTCGGAGTTCGTTTGTTTATTCGTTCGGTGGAACGTTTGACGATGGAACGGTTAGATGAAGCGTTGAGAATGTAAGTAGGAACTCGTCATTTTGACGGATATTGAGTTTTGTAAAGATTATTTAGTAACGGTTTACGTTGATTTTCATTATTAAGATTATGGGAATGATACTCTGGTTTTTAACCCTTAGCACTCCAGATGGTTTTGTAATTTATCAGCAACTGCAATTTTTATGGTATCTCCAGTGAAAATGAAAAATTCTGTAACATTCTCTCAATCTTCTATTTTCCTTCTCAGTAGAAAATTTGGATGTACGAAAAATCTAATAATTTTAGGGTAGTCTGATTCATTAAAATATTTGATATTACAACTGGTGCAATATTGGAACCTAAGAGTTCAAAGGGTTAATCTATAATTTTTGATTTATATAGACGAACGCGTAGTTTTCTAGGAATAGTAGAATAAGGGTCATTAATTTAGTGTTAAACAGGAGACTAGGTATTGAAGATACATGTATTAACCCTTTGCGGACGAACGTCGACGTTACGACGAGATGAAATGTCCATATTTGGAAGACTAAGTGGCAGACTAATGATTTAATTACTCGAACAGCAAGAGATCAGCACATATTTACCCTATTTTCTATTAATCAAGCAATTGATATATAATTTACCTTTATTTCTCGAAGGTGTCATACATTTCAGAGAATCTTCGTCCGCAAAGGGTTAGTCATAATTTATTAAATCCCTACACCCATTAGTAGCCTTTGAATTAATACTCTAATTACCCAGAAAATTCAAACAATTTAAAACGAGCAAGTTCAAAGATTACAGAGTTATAAAATACATAAAAATAATCGACAGATCAACCATCAATTCGATCGCGACTACTCGAATGATCGTTGCGAACGTCAGTAAGGTTAATAACGAGGAACCCAACACTCAATTTCGGCGCACTGTTCCCCGATCTATCAGACGTCTCCGTCATTAGCCTATAATGAGCTAAATCTGCCGGTGGTTGTGCAAGCACCGCCGCCAGCTACAATTACGTCTGATCAGCGGCGCGGCGTTAATTCCTGATTAATTCAGCCGCGGCACTCGTTTCCTACCTGGGACAAGGTGACAGCTTTCTCCCTCATCAGCAATTCCTGAATCAAAGGCAGCCTGCTCGTTAAGTTCAGCTGCTGTAGCGCGAGCAGCGCGCAACGGCACAGCGACACCCTCTCCTCGTCGCGCTCCTCGTTCGTGTCTACGTTCAACCTGTCGGCCGTCGACCGAAAACACAATCAGTGAGACCGATGCTCGCGCGATTTCTTTGTCAGCCGCAGGTTTACCGACCCTTGCAGAAGATACAGCCTGTAATAGGCGTCTTTGTCCTCGCGGCAGAGGACCACGTTGCTCAGGCTCCGCGCGGACTCCTCGATGCCGCGCGCTTGCAGGCTCTTCAGCGCGGTGACGAACTGTAGCAATACGAACGAGGCTTCTCTGACGGTCCCCTCGTCGTGCATGTCCTTCGTCGACGAGCCGAACGACTGTATGGTGCTCACTTGTAGCCGCGGCAGCACGGATATCGTCGCTGCAATTCAAATCGTCGGTCTGTAGAAGCGAAGAATTTCTCTTCTCTCGTCAACGCAAATTAGATTTAAGTCAAATTAGATTTAAGATTCATTAAAATATCTAATATTGTAACTAGTGCAGTATTGGAGCCTACAGAGTTCAAAGGGTTAAAGAGGTGGAAGTATTAAGCTTAGCACTCCAGGTTGTTTTGAAATCTAGCAGCAACTGCTAATTTTTATAGTATTCCTAGCGAAAGTGAGAAATGCTATAACATTCCTTCGACCTATTTTCCTTCTCAGTGCAAAATTTGGATGTGTGGAAAATCTAATAATTTTAGGGTAGTTTCTTTGATTCATTGAAATATTTAACATTGTAACTAGTGCAGTATTGGAGCCTCCAGAGTTCAAAGGGTTAAGAAACAATCATTATTTACACGTAGATATTACCTTGTAGACTTATTAGAGTTGATAAGGGGGTTATAATTGATGAACTTGGAAAAGTTCCTTCATGTATCAGAAATATAGAGAGTAAATCTTAATTCTATATACTTCGAATACTATCAAATACCTATCAAACGATTACAGATAAAATACCTAGTACCAAAGAATAGTACAAAGAAAGATAAGACAATTATCTATCTAAGAAAAGCAAAGATTGAAGAGTATTCTTTGCAATCGAAGATTCCCATAAAGTTAGCCTTCCGTTAATACTGTCGAGGTCACTGCGGCGAAGGCTATTATCTGCCATAGGGTGAAAAAGAAAACAATCTTCCCTTAATTAGCCCCTGAATAATAGACTGACGAAGGCGGAAGCGAAACAATCGACGGAGCAACAAAGGAGACACGGAGAAGACATTCCCTTCCCCGGCGCGGTAATGGCGTCGCGCGAACCCGCGGCACGTCCGACGTATATTAATATCCTTAATTTCGCGGATTAAACGGAACGGGCGAGGAAGTAGCGGGAAACGTTCCGCGATACGATTCCACGGTAATAAATATTGAATACCGTTAAAGCGAGATTAGCAAGCGGCGCGGCGCGGCGGGGCGCGACTCCGCTCACGACGGCTATTAGCGTTCCATAAACGCGCGATTAATGGCGGCGTGCTCGCCAAACAGAACACGCCCCACCCCGGCGACCGGCGCCGATGAAAAACGGAAACTCTTTTGAATTTTTAACGAGCCTTCGCGAAACTGAAATACGAGGCGGCTGATAATGCGCGGCGAGCACCTTGCACCACGGTTTCTCGCGCGGCGGTGCTTTAACGCGTTCAGTGCCATGTGTACCACCGGTGGCTCACAGTAAGATATCACATTAGATAGTGTGTACCATCAAATATGTGGCTCGTCGAATGGTTTGGTAATTGGAAAACTTTGCCATATAGTTGAGAATTAATTTACTTTTGATCGCTTCAATATTTTTATCAATTTTGAGAATTCAGTTGCGAAATGGGAAAGAGTGGAAATTGCAGTGTGAACCTGTTAATACGTTCAGTGCCACGTGTACCACATATGGTACACGTTAATTTTTGTGACAAAATATTTTTAAGAGACGCATGGTCAAGAATAGATGCATACAAAGCACCGAAAACATAAAGAAACGATTTCAAAATATATAAAATTAAAAAGAATATAATTTAATATTTTATTTGAAAATCAATACAGTTCATAAGCAAAATATGACCGAAATTTCCGTGGCACGGAACGTGTTAACCACTTGCGCTGGAAAGACGCAAGAAAATTCTCAATGATAGAAGATTCCAGAAGATGAAAGAATATTCATCGTTTCAAAATAATCATTTCAAGTTTTAACCCTTTGCACTCATTTACTCGTTCAAATGGAGGACCAACAACAGCTCAGACCGCGAAGGGTTAAAATCATTCACCCAACTACCCCTAATCAAACTAAAGAACTGCACGTTTACCAAAAACAATATTCATCATCGCAAAATAACCATTTCAAGTATTAACATCTACGCTCGACTGCAGTTTGCTCGTTCAAACGCGAGACGAAGAACAGCTCCGACCGCGAGGGGTTAAAATCATTCAACCGGCTAACCGGCGCGTTATAACCGTGACAAATAATACGACCAGGATTTCCCTGGACGCGGCCGAACCGTATCGAACGGTTACGATTATGGCGCAATGCCCGTGAAAGTATTTACACCTCGGGAGACGTTTATCGGATCGATGGAGGAGGATGGTGGGGGACGAATAACCGTGGCCGGCCCCGTACCTTCGAGCTGCTTGTTCCCCGGCAGACACGTCCCGCCGGTAATTTCCTTCGGTACGCTGTCTATAAACTCGATTATAGGTGCCAAATAAAATTCCTTCCTCGACACGTGTGTGGCCAGATCGAACGCGACGCACAGGCTGACGTTCAGCTCGTTCCACGTCGCCGAATAAAATATTCTTCTGCCGACGGTGATCGACGTGCTCGTATCGATGCTGAAGTGGCTGATACGGGGATTCGCGTTTTTCAGGGCCCGCAGGCCCGCCGCCACTTGCGGGCTCTGGTTCAGCTGCAACACACACACAACCGAAAATCATGGCCGACTCGACATTTCTCATGCATGGGGTCACGTCCGACGCGGTTTAACTCTTTGCGGACGGGTGTCGGCGTTTCGGCGAGATGATATGTTCGGATTTCGAAGACTAAGTCGTGGACGAATGATCTAATTAGTCGAAGAGATCAGCACGTGGTTTTCTCTTTTTCTATTAACTCTTTGCACTCGGAAGTTTTTCACTAGAAATATTTTAACGTTTTCTGATCAGGTAAAATCGATGTTTTGTGAAACCAAGTCGACGAGAAATCACGCGTACATCGAGGAACAAAGCTATTTTATTTGAATATTTCTTAAAATGATGCATTATAGGAAATAATATTAAATATCAAATTTTATAGTTTTACTGTATGAAATCAAGTGGTGAGTGAGAGTCACCTCTCGAGTGCAAAGGGTTAATTAAGTAATTGATGTATAATTTAGCTCCATACGTTGAAGGTTTTGTATGTTTCGAAGAATCCTCGTTCGCAAGGGGTTAAATTCTGTCCAGATAAAAATACTGAGGAGTATGGAATACAAAGCGATTGTATAATCAATAGAAGAAAAGGAAACTACGTGCTGATCTCTAACCGTCGAATAATTAAATCACTTGACTGCGACTTAGTCCTCCAAATATGAATATTTCATCTTATCGAAATGCCGACAGGATAGCTGCCGATGAAAGTAATGGTATTACGTGCGTGTTTCGACTCATCACCTGTATTTGGAAATTATTTCGATGGCACTTGAGATAAAAATTTCCTTTTACCCGGCGAGTGTAAACAAATGTAATTCGTTAAAAATTTTAGCAGCCCAGAAATTTGTATTCCTGCCTCCTTTGAGGACAGGATGAAATGCACATCTCATTAATGTTGAAATTGACGTTCATTTTGAAACTGCACGCGAGCTACGTTGGATGGAAAATACATCTGTCGTGTCTGATCATTGTCGACTTGTTCTACTTGCGGCGATTTCTTTGAAACTAGAGGGCGATCTGCATTGGGAGTTATTTTAACTAAAATCTGTAAATCCATATTTCTTAGGAAATGAAATTTGATTTTAAATTACCTAATATCATTCTCCTTTTAATTACGTTCAAACATTTGCAGAGATTAATCAGATTAATGTAAATCCTATCAATTTTTGCTTCATACGAACGAAAATATTGCGACAGCTCGTTTATACAATTTTAACTAAAACTGTAAGTCTATATTTCTTAGGAAATGAAATTTGATTTCGCTAAAATCGCCCTCCTTTAACTACGTTCAAAGGTTAATCAGATTAATGCGAATCGTATCAATTTTTGCTTTATACGAACGAAAATATTGCGACAGAGGAGCGTTATCTTAGATAACACAGTCTAAGACCAGGGGTCTTTGAACTCCGAGGAATCATGGGTACCTGCTCGAGAAACTGCGCAAGGGCTTCATGATTCGCGACCACCACCGCCCCGTAATTATCCTCGAGGCTCCGATGAACTATGCTGCGACCTCTGCGTTGCCTCAATCGGCTTATCCTTAATTCGTCGTCCTTGCTCTTCCAGTCCTGATCCTCCTCCGGGCCCTGCATTTTAAAAATCCCATTATAAATTCCGCGCAGCCGATAAAGCTGCCTCCAAGTAAAATTATATCCCTGCCCTTTTTATTAAATAAAAGAATATCCCAATCGAAGCTTCTTAACTCCATAAACTCTGACTTTTTCCCATGGAAAACGGCGCTTCTAACGCGACTATCTCAACCTTAAGGTAAAAAATATTTTATGAAAAATCTCTGCATCCTCACTGTATAAACTCCTAATGAATAACGAAATGATCACATTAACCTCTTGGCTACTGTTGACGCCTGCTGTCGCTTTAGCACTAAAACTACCAGACGGGTCAAATGACTCGGGTCAAATGACTCAAATGACGGGTCAAATTCAACAATTACATCTTTTGCATTATCCTAATAATTCTCCTATTAATTCTAATTCAACAATTACATTTTTACATTATTCTAATAATTCTCCTATTAATTCTAATTCAAAAATTACATATTTTCCATTATCCTAACAATTCTCTATTAATTCCAATTAAACAATTACATCTTCTCTATTATTCTAATAATTCTCCTATTATTTAATTATAATTCATAACTGCTCGGTAGGTTTAGTGTTAAAAGAAACCACTCCCAAACTGAAACGCTACAAAAAATCATCGCAAAACGATGACCAAAATACACAAGCTTCACCAGCGCTCCAGAATAAAGTGGGCGTGGCTCGCCGTTGGTGGGGGAATCGACCTTGAGCCACGTCCAGGGTTCATTCCGACTATAGAGCGCGGACTTAAAATACCGTGTAACTTTATTATTCAGCGGCGCGCGCGTTTTTTCGTCTTCGCGATCGGAATTCGGACGAGCTGCCGGAGCGACACGAGGCAGCGGATCGACGTGGAGCCCGCAGTATTTCGCGCGAGCACCGTCACGTCCCTTGCCCGTCGGAATACCGAGGAATCGTACCTCATCGCCCGTATAAAAACCGTACGGTGCGTACAGCTCGCTCTCGGTCTCGCTGCCGCAATACGGGAGCGAGGTCGATCTGGCGAACGTCTGCTGGTGAAATTTGAATTCAGCGCCGGCCTCCATCGCGTTGCTGTCGGATTTCCTCTTGCTGCTGAGATGAGACGCGACCCCGTGTCGTAGCTCGAGGCTCGAGTCGCACTCCGGCGAGCTGGAAAGGCACTCGTAAACATGACTGTCGTTCGACGTCTGGAACAGTCCGGGGACACACCGGTTAGAATTAACCTGTTAACTGTGGAATTTCGTTTCAAACATTTCCGACAATGCAATGAAATCGGATAATAAAGTGTACGCTCGTTAACACTTAACGGACGTGCCATTGTGTTACATTGCGTACCTCGTTTTCATATAAAGACACTTAGCAATGCAACTTCGTGAATTACCACAGTATTGAAAAGAATATAAAATTTCATTCGAATTGATTATCTATTTAAAATATATTACACAACAATATATCTGAGTTTTCCTATGTATAGTGATATAAGTTGACCTCCGTGAAAATTGCCATCACAATTCTGTTTTCTGGAAACTAGAAATCTCGTTTTCATATAAAGACACTTAGCTCTGTAACTTTGCTAATTGCAACAGTTAAAAAAATATTACTGTTGTGTTGAACGGATTATCTATATAAAATATATCACATAATATATCTAAGTTTTTCCAAGTATAGTGATATAAGTTGACCTCCATGAAAATTGCCATCACAATTCAGTTTGCTAAAAACTAGAAATCTCGTTTTCATATAAAGACACTTAGCTATGCAACTTCGCCAATTACCACAGCATTGAAAACAATATAAAATTTAATTCAAATTGATTATCTATTTAAAATATATCACATAACAATATATCTAAGCTTCTCCAAATATAGTGTTATAAGTTGACCTCCGTGAAAATCGCCATCACAATTCAGTTCCCTGAAAATCGCCGGTATGTGTTAAAAGCTCGTTAATATCGTTACCAGTGAATCAGACGCTGTCGTCGCGGCGTTGACAGCGACGCCGTCGTAATCCTGATTGAGGGCCGGCGTGGACGACCCGTGTTTCTTGAGGATCGGCTGTGAGGTCGCCTGGTCCCTCATGCTGGCGGTTCTTTGGGGTTTCGAGGGTGCCAACGAGCTGCGCACCTCACCTGTAACATCCTCCGCTGCTGCAGGCACGTCCGCCATCGTCAAGCGCCACGGGTTAGTACCACAAGACACAAGGCATGTCACAAAACAGGCTAGCTACCGTAACTAGCGTGCCGGGAGAGTACGATATACCGTGTACGTTCCAAATAATACACTAGAGACGCGGTGACGCGCTCCTAGCGAACGCTCGGCTGGGGGCTGTGTTTTTGCTACCGGGGCTGAAGCGGCTAACGTACGGGTCGAACGAGCTCCGGAGACCACCGGAAGCTGGAATTTAGGGCCGGTGTAGCGACACGGGTGACGTTCCATTAGATTCTCGGAGGAAACACGCTGACGATCGTAACCGAACTGCGAACGCTCTTCGCCCGTTGCTCTGCGACACCGAGTCGGACTCGACGGACGAAATCGGGTTCGTCGAAATTTCTGATCAACCTGAATGTTGTTTAGTCTTCGAAGGTGGATAAGTGGGAATTACTTCGGTGTGTTCGGTATGTTATAAGATTGAACAGTAAATTAACCCTTTGCACTCCAAGGATGCCTCTCAGTCACCACTCGATTGGTGTAATTGTAAAATTTCGCATTTAACATTAAGTCTCGAGTAATCTGCCGATACGTGAAATGTGGAAATAAAATACCATTGTTCCCCTTATTTTGTGAATAGAGTTAAGTTTAAAGAAATGTCATCTATATCTCATAAAAATAAATTGAATATTTCTAGTGACAAACTTTTGGAGTGCAAAGGGTTAACACATTGTAATATTTAATAGATCTGAAGGTTTGTTTGAACTGTTTTTAATGAGGTTGAGGTCACGTAATTTTTATACCTGATGTAATTGAAATAATAGTATATTCGTTAATTTTGGATCAGAAGTTTCCAATTTCTATAGATGAAATTGATGAATGAAGTTCGGAGATTAAATGTTACTTTTCTATTATCCATAGGCAAACATAGAATGAGCATCAAATTAGTTTCCTTTCGCGACAGATCATTCAGTATTTTCATCTTGAAGATCAATACCTCGTTCCGTGATTCCTTCCACTACTGCGCTCGATGAACCTATTTATTATCAGCAATTCATTAGAACGCGAAAGGAGCTCGATATTCATTTAATTTCCGTGTTTATTCTAGGCTATCCATCGATCATAAAAAGGTAATAATTTATATCGCTTTAAAATGTCCGTCACGAGTCTGACACGATATCACAGAACAGCGGGACAAGAGATGCTGCATCGACACTCGACGACTAGTCAACGTGGTGCAGAATTTAAAAAACAATTTCAATCATTCCATATATTTTGCATTTAACACCACGAGTAGCCGGAATTCGGGATACGTGTGGAACAGGAATATTTTTTCTGCCGACGATCGTTTGCGCCGGAGGGGTGGGAACAGCCCTCGGAGTTGGGGTTGGAAAATTTATTTTACCGAATATCTGGGAAGCCGTTGGGCGCGGCGAACGAATTCCGAGTGCGGTCTGTTTCTAAATGGCGAATTTGTCTAAGTACAATTGCAAACGCGACTCGGGGAGCCTCGATACGCGAATAAAACGTTCGCGGAGTAAATCGACGTTGATCATACTTTCGGGAATAATTCCTCGAAAAGATTCGTTCGCTAGTATTGATTCGCCATTCAGAAATGATTCTCCGATCCGGCGATACACGAAGTAAAATATCCTCCGAAACCGTCGATCGTGCGTCGCGCAGACAGGAAACCGAGTTCAACCTTCGAACCATCCTCGAGTAAACGCTCGTCTAACGTTCGAGGATGCCAGTTCCGTGCATCAACGTTCTCGAACCGAAGCATGCGGTTTCAGGCTGCCGAGGAGAGAGAGAGCCGGGGAGAGAGGATTTATTACTCGTCTCACACTAGAATGCCATTGGAACGACGTGAAAGACATAGGACAAAAAAGGTCTTTAGATCTCTCGTGTATCACTTCGACTGCGTGCGGCGTAAGGCGAAAGTTACTCGGAATGAATAAATTATATCTAGTATTCACGAGTAACTAGTACTAGCTTTCGTAAATAACTAAATCTATTCGTTTCCAGTGACGTTTGCTTAACCACGCGCTGGAAAGACGCAGGAAAATTCTCAGTGATGTTTCACATATTGATAATCTTGCATTACGCCTATTAGATTGTTTCGAAATGTATCATTCTATAGAGAATTATTAACGAAATTAGTGTACATATCAGTGTAAGATAAAAACAAACATCACAGGAGGCTTTCAAATTTCTGAGTTCATCCAGCGCAAGTGGTTAACACTAGAACTACCGTATCAAAATGACTGGTTTCGATTCTTTTAGCAATTATTGATATCTTAGAAGCATTGAATATTAGAAATGATTTTGAAAATAGTTTCGTTTCAGTATAATGAATGTCTGATGAAACTGAAAATAATATATTGTTACAATTTTTAGGGGAATTGCATATTAACCCTTTGCAGTCCGAAGTGCGGTTTTTCACTTTGAGGTTCACGTCGACGTTCATTCAATTACAGCTTAATATGACGCTCTATTTATTCAAGAATATTTGGGGGTCATTGAAATGTTACCTCTAAATAGTACAACTGTGCTACTACAAATATAAAAAAAATTGTTAAAACAAGTCGAGGTTGCAATGAAATAGAACGTCGAGTCTCAACATAGGACTGCCAAGGGTTGATCGCGTTAAACGCTGGGTAGTTCTAGCGTTAAGAAATATGTATGAAAAGTGACACGAGACGAAGCAGGTGATAAAACGAATATTCCTTCCAGCATTCTTGTCCGACACGCATAATTAATTGGGCCCAACGGCGCTGGTCTCAGGAGCAGCCGAAATTTGTTTGTTTGCGATGGTTGGCACGCGGGGCATCCCTGCCCCCGTAGGCGAAAGTAATTGCGCTGCTAAAGGGTTCAATAGAGTTCTATAAATTCCGCGCGGAAACACGCCGAATTAAGTACTGCACCGTAGTCGCTGCGCAATCATCGGGAATCCTGGAATTGGCAGGCATTCGTTATCAAGCGGTGTCCCCCCCGCCCCATCCCCGGTCCCCCATCGGTCCGCCGATCCGCGGCAACCCCCGTCGCGCGGCTCTAGGGGAGCGGAACACGATGCTAATATGCAATCAATACATGCGGCGTTAGTTGCACCCAGGCCGGTTAAGGAAACCTTGCGTAACACAATGGTACACGATCGAACGTCGCGTCGACGTGGCTCGCTATTTACATGGGGGTGGGCGGGTCCGAGGACTCTTTCGTGCCCATCGACGATACCTTTCTTAACACGTTGACACTTAGCACTCCAGGGAGTTTTGTAATCTATCAGCAACTGCGACTAATTTTTATAGTGTTCCTAGTGAAAATGAGAAATGCAATAACATTTCTTCGATCTTTTATTTTCCTTAGTGCAAAATTTGGATGTGTGGAAAATCGAATACTTTTAGGGTAGGTTCTTTAAGATTCATTAAAATCTTTAATATTATAACTGGTGCAATATTGGAACCTACAGAGTTCGAAGGGTTAACACGTTGAATGCCATGGGGGTCACCGGTGACCTCAACTAAATTAAATTACTATAATTCATTCGGTGAAACGATGATTATTTGAAAACTTTTATAAGTAATACAACTCAATGCATTGACATTCAACAATTCAAACCTGTAATGACTAGTTTCAGTTTCGCAATTATTAATATCTTCAAAGCATTGAATATTCGAAATGATTTTGAAAATAAATAGTTTCAATTGAATACTACAGTGAATGTCCGAAGAAACCGAAAATAATCTATTACTACAATATTCATAGCGATTTCCTATGTATAGTGATATAAGTTGACCTCCGTGAAAATTGCCATCACAGTTCAGTCTTCTGAAAACTAGAAATCTCGTTTTCATATAAAGACACTTAACTATGTAACTTCGCTAATTACCCCAGCTTTGAAAAAATATAAAATTTGATCCGAATTGATTATCTATATAAAATATATCACCTAACAATATGATATCTAAGTTTTCCTGAAAATAATCTATTAATATTCATAGCGATTACATTCCAATAGTATCAAATGCTCGGTAGTTCCAGTGTAAAACAGACACATAATTTCATTGCACTTCACTCTCCGTATTATCAAATTGATCACTTTGTCGAATGAACGGCTCGACTAACGTGCTACTAAAAGTGTTAAAAAAGAAAGGTCGTAGGTGTAGAAACGCGACGGACCATCATCCACCCTCCACCGTCCGGCTGTCGGTGCCCCGAGCAAAAGCGTAATCGATTCCTTGTCCAGCGGCCGTGGGAGGGAAACAGGGATTCCGGATAGTCCAGTTGATAGATCTACTTTCGCGAATGGCGAAATGGTCGCGGAATATCGAAAAAACGGACGGGCAAGGGCGGCGGGAACGGAAGAGGAGGCCGATGGCCGATGGAAGAATGGAATTTTGCGCGGCGTTCACTCGTTAAAAAGTAGACCGGCACGGTTTTGTTGACATTTAATCGTGATGCGTGTACCATTTGCAGTAACGCAAGGTTCTATTCGGAACGGGAGGGTCAGAGACTTTTGTTCCACACTATATTGTTAGATCATTTCCATATTGAAAACGGATACGATTCCGTCGAAGTTAATATTGGTTCTCATTTTAATCAACGCTTCGACGCTTCGCCGCGCCCTCGGGCACTTTTCCGGCTAATTTCTACATTAATTTCGAGTTCGATTCCGAAGCAATGTTTGCCCGATACACCTGGCAGCTAATAAAGTTATATATTTCGCAGGTCCTGTGTTTTCTTCGTTTATTAGCTGAATAATCGATTGCGGAGTATTGAATGCCAGGTTGATCTGAAATTGACGTCGAGGGAACCTCGTTTATAACTACATCGCGGTGCATACTGGGTGTCTCGTTCGTCTTGAGCCTCGAGAAACGTATTTCATTATCAATATTAATACTGGTTACACATATTTTCATATAAGACTTTCAATTCTCAGATACTTTGACAAATCCATTACACCGAGAAATACATTACTCAACCAACTCTGAAACCCTAACGTCAAGAGAAACTCAAACTGATCTATAATATTGATAAGATTATCAATATTAATACTGGTTACACATATTTTCATATAAGACTGTTTCAATTCTCAAATACTCTTTGACAAATCCATTACTCAACCAACACTAAAATCCTAACGTCAAGAGAAACTCAAACTGATCTCTAATATTGATAAGATTATCAATATTAATACTGGTTACACATATTTTCATATAAGACTGTTTCAATTCTCTTTAACAAATCCATTACACCGAGAAATACATTACTCAACTAACGTCAAGAAAAACTCAAACTGATCTCACTTTTCACAACATATTGCCTATTCTATTTATCTTATATTATTTAGTAAGTCTTGAAGTAGGATTATTTATTGCTTTACAAAACGCAGTTTCCAACCGAACCAATTGAACTCGAGGCTATAGTTATAGTTTCTGTGTTAAAATTCAATTGCGAAATTCCCATCGCCGGAAAAGTGCCCGCGGGTCATTCCAATCGGGCCCAGAAGTTTTCCATGGTGTTATTCCGAGCACCCTGTACAGGACTCCCGAAGCAGTCCGATCCGGTGCATGCGGTTAACGTCGAGGCCAACCGAAATCGGACCGCGGTAGCTGCGAACGACCGCTGTCCAAACAACGATCGTAAAAGGAATCGATTCGCGCGATTTCCGTTCTCGGTTCGTCATCGAGGCATCCGTTCGCTCGTCATGATGGGGACAAACGCGCGCGTGATTGCGGCCCGCGACGGAACAAAACCGAACGAGAGGAAGAGAAAGACAGAGAAAGACAGATAAAGAGTGAGAAAGAAAAAAAACGCGCGGTGGGTGCAACGAACAAAACGACCGCGACGCGCATCATCGAGAGATCGGATCACGTGGCCAAGAAAAGAAGGCTACATCTGGTTTGTTTCAATTGTTCGACATCATCATCCTCTTCTGCTTCTTCTTTTTTTTCGTTTTCAAGCAACAA